TTACGGTACCGTAACGGACGGTACGTAGTTACGGTTACGAAGTACGTACGAAGTAGTCGTTCGGTTGGTACTAATATCTCCGCCTATATTATATATATATATATATATATATATATATATATATATAGTTGCATTAATTTTAAAGACAGGGGCATAATTACTGAAATAGTAGAATCTGCTGATGACATTAAACTCTTGTGTATTTCTAACAATATTGAGGTAGGCTACTTGAATGATTTGAAGGACTATAAGGAAAGACTAACATCTCCTAATTATTTTTATTTTTCAATAAAAGAAGGGTAAGAGGTTATCTTACTGAAAGTTAAAACTTTATCCATGGGATTGCTGTGGTAAAGGCCTCCAATTTCTTTGTGCCATATTATGAAGATAACCAGATGAGAGGACACAAGTTTAAGATTTGAAAAAAAAAAAGTAAAGTTAGGCTGTCATTAAAAGTTATTTTTCTAACAGGGAGTTTAGCTTTTGGAATGAATTGCAGTTGGCATTAGTTTAGACTGGCATTTTTTGAAGAGTTTAAGAAAGGAGTCAATGATTTATGAAAAATAAAGTGTGGGTTTAAATTTTTACTGTTCTCTATGATGGGTGTGCAAGAATAGTCTTGAAGGACCAAGTTGGCCCTTGTTGCCTTATTACTATCTAATGTACATTGTCCAGAAGACCTGATTCTATGTACTACTAATAACTATGTCAAATTTTGTTCTCATCGACTTCATCTAGTTTACCCTTTTAGGTTATAGGAATAAATTAATGTTGCAATAATCAATATGCATAATCTTACTTATATTCTTAAAAGGCTTATTCAAGCCTACTAAATAGTTTAAGTCTCTTGGTAAAACTTAGAATCTTTATTAGAACTTGAAATATTTGTTACTTTAATATCATCTGCAAATTTAATAAAATAAGTGGCAATTCCTTTATTAATGTTGTTAATTAAAAAAAACCCAGCAAAGAAATTCACAAAGAACAGTTAGTATACCACTTTTATGATTAATCCATTGTGAATTTACCAAATTTACAATAACCATCTGCTTTCTATCACTCAGGTAGTTTTAAATTGATTCAACTAGCTTATTTCCTGCTTAATAGATGTCATCTTAATTTCCAAGAGTTACCTTATGTGACACCTTATCAAAACCTTTCTGAAAATCCAAGTTTACCAAATTCACTTCATTATCCATGGCCAGAAGAAATATAATATTTTCCAAGAAAGCATAAGACATGATCTTCCTTTTCTAAATCCATGATATCTCTCATAATATGAATATTGTTTAAATGCTCCCATAGAATTTCTGTAATTACAGACTAATAATTTTCCATCCAAGTTTACTAAGGCTAACTGGTCAATAATCACTTGGATTTACATCTCTCACCCCCTTAAAAATTGAAGTGATATTGTCTATCCTCAATTTTCTGGTACCTCCTTACCTTCTTTAATAAATTCATTAAAAAATAATGTTAATATTTCCTTCATTATTCTAAAATATTCCAAAATCAAGTGCCTTATCTTCCATCAATTTTCCAATCTTAAGTCAGTTCTTGATTATTCCTAATTTCATTCAGGTGTCACATAATCTTTTTAAGAAATATCCACTTGTAGAATTCATCCTATATTTTCCTCAAATAAAAAATGATGAAACAAAAGTATCTTGTAATCATCTGCTAAACTTTCTCATCTTCATTCTTTTAAAAGCTCAATTCCAATTTTAACATTATATCTCTTTAATCAATATACTTAAAAATCACTTCATTTTCTGACAAATGTTTCTTAAATGCACTTTTCAATTCCCTAGTTTCCTTTGCAACTCATTCTGTAGCAATTTTATAGGCTTATAATTCTTCCATTCTAGCAATATGTTTTTGAAATTTCTTTGTATTGAATTACTTTTCTAAAATCTGCTCCAGGTTCTTATGAATTAGAAAAAACCCTCTCAACATTGCAAGCCCTCCATGAACCTTAGGTTCATATCATGGCTTTTAGGAATTGAAGTAGTTAAAATATTTATACTAGAAATGATAAAAACAACATGTTTCTTTCAAACTAATAATAAATTTATTTAAAAAATTATACAGTACAGCAAAGTTCAATTCTTTTTTCTTAGACTTGTTGGCAAATAATATTACTATCATTAACATTTTTAATAATATTAATAGTGGCATGCAACATAAAAGAACAAACTTAATAACTACTAATACTAATAGTAGTAATCTTAAATTTATATATAAATTAAATTATAATTTCCAATTTAAATATTGCTTTTTTTAAACAAATAACTTGCTATAAACTGTAAAAACAACAAAAGTCAGTAGTAATACTTTAATAAAAATCAGAATGTAACACAAGACACATAATCATAACATAATAATAATGGTTGATTATCGTTAACACCAGCGTGACCAGGTTCTCAGCCGGCCTGATGAATCCTGGTATGGGCGAAAGGCCTCCTTTAACTAGTATTAGTAACTTCTTATATTAATATTACTATGTTACCATAACTTTATATATTAATAAGAATGTACTATGAATAATTACTCAGTAAGAACTAAAACAACACGTCATTTTCCCTTAAGTATAAACAATACACACTTTATTTATATATCCTGTGAGAGGCTTGAGTATAAATATAATAGAAATAGTGAATTCACTTCAAGTTGCCATGAGTCTTCGATTTCCTTTTTCTTTTCCGCTTAGGGACCCCTACTTTTTAACACAGATTGCTTCCGCTAGAGGCAAAGTCCAAAAGTCTTGTCGTCCCGAAAGTTCAATGGATACAATTATTAAAAACGAAGTATTTGAGCCATACTGGAGCTCACATGATTGTAAGTACTTTGTACGTTATTCAAACACAAATGTATTAAAAATAAAACTCGGAGTCTACGATGATGTTTGCTTGTACTTAAGTATAAGACAGAAATTGATGTATTCAAAAGATGTATGACATTTGTGACAGATTTACTCAGTGGCACAGCGGCATGTCTGTGGACTTACAACAATAGAATCCGGGTTTCGATACCCGGGGTGGGCAGAGCACAGATAGCTCATTGTGTAGCTTTGTGCTTAATTACAAACAAATACATATCGTTTTTAATATCGATATTTGTTTAAGTTAAATTTATATTCAGAAATGTACACAATTTATACTGTTAAATCTGTATTACGAAATTCCCGCCTATTCACTAAAATTGTAGAAAATTCTCGAGTGTAAGAATCAACAATATATGTGTATACGAAAACATTGGTGTATCGTTTATATTGTTGCGTAAGCTGAAATTTTCGAGAAACTCTCCTCACGCTTATAAATATAACCAACGGAACGCGCCAAAAGACAGTATATATTGTTACGTCTCCGTTTGTTAATTAACTTTCCGTAACTTCGTTCCG